AATCCCAAAGAAATGACCTTCATTTCACTGTGAGGCAATGTGTGCCAAAAGCCAACAAGCTGCCAGATTCAAGTACTGCCTGATAATTAAAAAGTTATTTGCTAATTTGTCCTAAACATTAGCAGATTCCTGCTCTGATACAGAGGAAATTAAACTGAACCAAAGGTCAGCAATGGCAGAATAGTTACAAAGAAATGTGAGTAAACATTGACAAACAATTCCTAAGTGAATACAGAGTTGATATGACTCTGAAATATGTAATGATCCTACAATCCTGTCATAGTGCATGTAAGTTGTGGATTTAAAACCATTCAGACAAGTCACAGGCATGTGTCCATGGAAACCAAATAACCACAGATGGGTGGCTGATAAGTGTTTCTGGATGTGGTCGCCCAAAAGGGCAGATGCCAGTTTCCGTGTGCTCAGCTTTGATTGATCCTTCCTTAACATGTGTAGACTGATGCCAGGTTCAAAAAGTTCAAAGAGAGTTCAAGAAATGTTTTTGTCTCCAACCAACATTGCTACTGCCGTAGAGCTTCTGCCCTGGTGATCTGCCAGTCCTCTGAAGCTCTGCTTTGTTGATTAAATACTCGATCCACTGCCTCTTTTGTCCTCCATCTTTCCACCTCCACATCCCCAGAGTTGACACATCTCTAAACCCTGGTGCTGGCATTGAGGGCAGCTGGAGGAGTCTCCGGTCCATGGAGGTTGAATCCATGGAGATTGAACTGCTTCTGGTGTTTGCTCAATCCTCTATCTTCTTGTTCTGCTCCTCAGCCAGTTGACCCCTCCTGGGTTCTTGTTTGATGACAGAATCTCTTTTGCGATCACCATGTTGGACTTGACCACAGATCTGAGGGAAAAACAAAAGACAAACAGGTAAGAGATGCTTCATATGTCATAAAAACGACCAACCAACAACACAATATGGATTTAAAAGTTTATCCTTAAAGTCTTCTTCATGTACCTGAAAGATGCCAGCAATTTGTTGCTGCTTGTGCTTGATTCTGTCTTTGGGCCCACGACAGTAGTCCTTGGATTCTCTGAGCTGTGGAAAGATCGAACAACAGCATTAAAACAAGCACATAAACCTGCCAGTGCTTCAGGGAATTAAACCCGTACAAGCTGAGGCTTTCATCTTGTATTATTACCCTACTTGAAGCAAAAGCAGTTAGTTCAGGTTCAACTAAGCAATTTCCTTGGAATTCCAAACTAATATATCTTTAGTTTCCTTTTGGGCAGGAATGCAGGGCACACCTTAGAAAACACCACCTAGGATAACATCTAGAGATGGTGTCTAATCCATACTGGTGGTTTCATGACCGCAACAAGTCAAAGACGCAATCTGCATTCCCTTGAGCAAATTGTTTCAGAAATAGCAGCACTTCTAATAAACCATTGGTGATTTCTTTTAAGGCCCTTAAGGAAATACGGGACATTCTCTGCACTATGACTACTACCCCTATACTACAGCAACATTATCACCAACTGAATCATTTTGCCTTCTCTCTGACTCGTCCTCTACATCAACGTACTGTTCAGGCTCTTCACACATGACTGAGACAAGGAGGAGACACAGAAGCGACTTTGATGCTATCTGCCGAAGGAAGGTATGTGATGGAATGTCTTGTTTTGTAGCAGGTCTAGGTAGATGGAGGGGTGGTGCTCACCTTTTACGGCAGAAGCCGGAGCAGGTTTTATCGGCTGGGTTGAGGCATTCGCAACGGTCAGTTGAGCGGCGGCGGCGAGACAGGGGACTTCCCAGGCCATAAGGAAGGAGTTTACTGTAAAAGAAAACAAAACTTCTTAGGACAATGTTGTTGAAAGCATGTAGAAATCTGGGATTCTTCCGGTCTAAATGCAGCTTTCTGAGTATCGTGCAGCCTCACCTTGGTGTGTTGACCCAGATAATATCCAGGTGGCAGAAATAGATGCATTCTTTATCATCCCAGCTATTACAGGAGCAGCGTTTGGTCCTGACGTGGTGTGGATGTGGAGCCTGAGCTGGCAGCTCTGCCCGGTCTGATAAGGGGAGTCCACAACCTAGAAAAACACAAAGGATCCCAAGATTAAAAAGTGCCAACTAATGCTTTGCGGTATGACTGTGCAGTTAGTGAATATCACAAGTAAATACAAGTAAATCCAGATGGCGGGCTAACACCCACTGCTGTGGTTAAACAAATGTGATTGTGATTAATAGTGGAACATATTCATCATATCATAAATTAAGGAACTTGATCCAAGTCAAATAATCCTGCAAGCTGTTGAATAAGTGGTTGTATCAATAATGCTAAGAGATAATATTCCCTGGAAGGCTGAACCCACATCTTGCATTGTACTTTCTGTGGTGACTGGCAGAGAGTCAAAAACATGAAATTTTTTATTGCGCATCTCAATTCTTTTGCTCAACTAATGTTTGCGGTTGTTGCTTTTTAGTAACATTATTTATTTTGGAAAACCTTAACCGTGGTCATATCACCCTTATCTAAACCAGTCAATAAACAACTGGTAATTCAATGCTGCCAAAAGGAATATATTATTTAAGAAGATTTTGTTCACAAAAATCTACAAAATTAGTCACAAATATAAAAAAAAACACCTTAAAATCCCCAAAACAAGTTACTCACCCTCTTGCAGAGCCATGCAGATGAAGAATAAAGTCAAAGTCTTGCACATGAAGGAAGCCATCATCATTCTGTGTCTGATGTTCTGATGTGTAAAGGCAGCAGTTTACGCACTCCAAGAGGTGTAGAAGAGTCTTGTGTGTGTTGGAGAGCAGCAACAGGTGCTTTGTGTTCACACTCCTGCCAGGACATCTACTTTATACCCACACACTCATGATTGCCCCTCCTACATCTGTGCACTGGCCTGTCTATGCAGAACAGTGTTGTTACACAACACACACATACTCCACCTGCCTTCCTCGCATTCCAGCAGTGACCTTAACATACTGCAGTGTCAGCGCCCCCAACAGGGCAAGAAGGGTAGGGAGATCAACTAATGCAGAGATTTTTACAGGTCGGAGATTTTAGATTAACAAATCAGAAGCTGTATTTGTTGATGGTATTCAGCAAAAAATGGACAGTTGTCAGACGGCTACAAATCATTTAGATCATCCTGTGACATTAAACCTAAACTAAGAATGTCTTAGACTGAGACAGAGACTGACATACCAAACTGGAAGTAGTGTGTGGTGTGCATTCACTGTCCTGAAAGTTGCAATTTGGACAGAGAAGACGAATGAATGAATGAAAATTTACCCAGGTCGGTGTATGAGTGTGTGTTTCAGTCTGCCTGTATGTGTGAAGGCGAAGAGAGAAAAACAAAACAGTGTGAGACAAATTGCAGCAAGGGAAAAAACGAATGAGGTGAAAGACAATAAAGAAAGAAATAAATAGAAAAAGAACTGGCCCATGAAAGAAAGAACAGAAATGTGATTGTCTGTAGCTCAGCTAGCACTGTGAGTGGTCTCTACCTCAGCAAGCTTCTATAACCATACATTTGTCAACATTTCCACTACATAGCAATGATTTCTGGAACAACAAAAAAAAGCGCCTGATCTAAAGAGAGTTTGAATTTCACCTACAGTCAGTCTGGCAGTGGGTCATACGGCCCACAGCGATCTTTCGCTGTAACAACTAATTACTATATATTAATAATTAAAGTCTGATAATTGGAATTTAGATATGGAATATTGATATGCTGTAGCTGCAAGCTGAGACAACATGTAAACGGTATCACTTTCCTTTTTTAATTTTGCTGTATAAACACTTAATAAACCATTTATAACAGATTAAGTGTTTGCTCGTGTATTTGTCAACAGTTCAGTTGGGGGGTAACAAAAATAATACTGTAACTTATTACTTTTTGGGTAACTGTCATATTATTAGTACATTTTATTAGTAATTAGTTACATTCAATGAATTATAATAATAATAATATTACTGTAATAGTAGAGAGTATCAACTGTTTGCACACATACCAGTCACTCACAGGCAGGTTTAATATGGATTATAAAACTCTTCAAATGAAACAGTTCTTCATGTTCTTTATTAAAACATATAATAGCAAATATTTCTGAAAATATAAAGACGTATTTTATATAATTACAATATATCATCACAAATACATTTAGTGTTTATTCAGAGGCTTAAAGAAATTACAACTACTAAATGTCTTTATCTGTCTTAATCATACTGTATTTACCATTTAGTCATTGTTTATATACAGCTTATAAATTCTAAATGGGAAATGGTTCATAAAATGACAGCAGGCAGAATAATAAGAATACTTTGTGGAGCCAGTGAGACTACAGTGCCAGCAAATGATTGTCACTCAGACAGGAGGCCATGTGAGGCCACACTGTGTGTTTTTTTCTCTTTCTTTTTTCCAGAGGCGTGGGGCATTCAGGATGAGGCTGGAGGCGGCAGAGGAAGAGATGAGCAGTCGCAGCAGGAACAGACGCAGGGTTTGCATGTGCCACACGGCTGATACGAGCAAGATGAAGTCAAGGAGAGCTGTCAGCACCCCCCGCAGGAAGGTGAGGTCATGGCACGACTGTTACACAAACAATACCTCAGCGTTCAACATGCTTTGGCCTTCATGAAGAGATACGCGCCCGCCTGCCACATCAGCTTTGTGCGCCCCCCACACACACACCACCATGCATACAGGGCACTGACACACACTGTTAGTTGGTTTACACTGCCTATCTCTTACCGGCGACAAAAACAGACATCATGGATTTGACCGCAGTTACAGTATGTCATGCAAACACCCTTAGGTATTCCTCGCTCTTATCAGCTATATACTGGATTATATCATTCAAATCCACAGGTAGGTACAATCATAAGGAACCAATGACATATGTGCATCTGATAACAGGATGCCACAGGGAAGAATGGATGGATGAGGGTGAACTTAGACACAACGATGCAAAGAACAAAGAGACACATTATTTATAATACACAGATAATTCAGCATGTTTTTATTCTACAGACTTTAAAGGCTTCCTATCAGGAGACTATAGTAAACTATATGTCATATACTATGTTGCATATTGTAGGCTTTATGGTGTATACTTCGTTTGTATAGAATTTACCTATTACCCACGTTTCTCTGGTCATTTAAACCTTTTGACTTTAATATACTATATCTGTTATCATTATTTGTTGTTTAAAAAAATATTGACAAATTTTCATTTTAAACCTTTTCTATAGCTCATCTACAATTCTTTTTCTTTGTATTAAATACATCTATAAAAAAACATTTTACTTTATGGCTTCCAAAGAGGACTCCTTACTACTAAATTACTTAATTTTAATATGAAACTGCTGTCAAAGTCAAATTCCTTGTAAGAAGAAACCTCCCTGATCAACCTCAGACATTTTTATTTCATTTATTTATGATCTATTTATTTAAACCCTGTCAGAATCTAAGTTTGTGTAAACTGTCCATCTGACGACAATGAGTTTTGGACAATTATAGAATAAAGCGCAATGAGCTCCATGCAGGAAATGTCAGTTAATTAATAGATTTTCTCTGGAAGTCAAGGAGTTTCTAGTAATTCTGAATGGGTTGGTTTTTCAGCCACATAGTACAAAAGAATACATTTATTTCATATGCACGTTACCATAAATGGTTGCAACGGAAGCCAGACCAAAGAGAAAAAACAAAGCAATTGGAAACAGGAAGGGGTACAATTGTTTAGGTTACTGAAGACCTTCAACTGGAAAATCTTGCAAATGTGAGGAATTTTACATCACAGCTCCAGTGAAACCCCAGATTATAGGCAGAGACACCACACAGGAACAGGAAAAAACACTTCTGAACCATGCATATCTGTGTGTGGTCATAGTTTATAGGGGTTAAGGGGTAGGGGGAAAAGCCAAAAGGATGTCACAATGCAGAAAGATTGGCATTTGACCAACTATTTGTTACAGTGAAGAAGAAGGAAAAAAACCTAGAGCAAATATTTGTCCAGTGGTGCAGACTGGAGGAATGGGCTCAATCTAAAGGTACCCCCACCTCCTCATTTCCCCTTCCCCTTGTCCCTTTCCCCTGCTGCTCGCTCCAGACAAGGCAGCAGAGAAACACAGTGACTCTGCAGTCGCAGTGTAAAAAATGTGCCCTTATCTATTTCCCACTTCCGGCTGCTGCTGAAGGGAGACAGAGGAATGTGAGGCGGTGCGATGACAAACAAGTAGCGGAGCCACGATTGCAGAATCCTTTGAAATTCCTCGAGGATGACATTTAACGTACGGGCTGTGACACAATAACACACAAACAAGTTCAGGATGGAGTGAAAAAGTTAAAAAAGGGGTTTATGTCGTTGGAAATTCAAAAATTATGACATGAAACAGCAAAATATCTGCTGACTGTTTAAAGTCCAGGTGAAAGGAAAAATGTCCATGTGACCCTTTAAAATCTTTGTACTTTTATGTAGCTGTCAGATGGGGTTAGCTAGTTAGCTCGTGCAGCAGCAGGAGCCAAACCTGGCAAAAGACACCTCGGTATTCAGTCCTGGTCTGGCCGGTGGAAGCTCCCAGTCCCGACAGAGTCTGCTAATGGGTCCACTTCAGCTGCTAGACCGGGGGGGGGGACGTAACACACAGTGCTATTAGCTACAAGTCCCTCTCTACACGCCTGTTTTAACAGGAAATACTTAAATATGCTGTTGTTTCATGTGGACTAGGAGTAAAGAATAGTTGTTTATCTGTTCTAATTTTAGCTGCATAGCATGTAAAGCTAACTAGCTTACAACAGAAACCTGGGATTACTTCAAGGCTATTAATGAAGGGTTTTTGTGGGGGGTTACAGTTCAGAGTGTAGGTCCCATTAGCAGCTCTGTCCTGCTCTTTAGCCTACTGCATTTTGGAGTCCACACAGTCAAACTTGTTACTGACGATAGCAAGCTATTATTTGACAAACCAAACAGTTAGTCTGCGTTTAAGCCATTTCTCTTGAAAAATTAAAAAAGCCACATACTATTTGAAAATACAAACAATAAAGCATAAATCTTACATCAGCTGGCTATACACAGTTTGTATGTATTGAACTGCTTCAAATCTGTAACACTGTAGGAGTTGCTAAGCTAGCTAGGTTCTCCTCCAGGAAAAGTTTGTTTTCATTCTGCCGGCATGTGTGCATGCATAAGGGGGACTGGGTTTGGCAACCTTTAACTACACATTCTACATGAGATAAGCAGGGCTCACTCATCTTGGCTTTGATTTAAATCATTACCAACATCAGTAACGTAACTGAAGAATGCCAACATGTCACTCTTCTTCCTTAATAGGTCAAAAAATGTGAAGACAGGAAGCAAACTTGGCAATTATTGAGGGAAGAAAAGAGCAAGTAACGGTGACTCACACACGACCCTGATGTGAGTGAGGTGAATATATGGGCCATACCTCTGAACAGTATGAGTACTCAGACCGAAACTACAAAAGAACACACACTGTGCAGGACGGTACCTGTCTCATTTTCTTCACATTCCTCACTAGACATAATACCAAACTACTATACTATATAAAAGCTACAAATTGAATTTAAATGTTACATTTTGTTTTAAACTGTATCAAAATAAATTGATTACAGAAAAACAAAACAGTGGGAGGTGGAGATTGATGATGGAGGAATCTGCATGCATACTTTAAATGAAACAGGACCAAGCTTCCTTCCATCCATCTCTATTTAACTCTACTGTAAGAGCTTTAATATTTTAATGAACTCATCATGTTTAAATGGCAACCATAGGGGCTTAATGTCATTACTGCAAATGGAAAATGATGCATCATTTAGTAATGGAGAAATGAAGTTGAGAAAAGTGGAAAACAAACATCAGAGATTTGTTTTCAGTGGAGAATTTGTTTAGGGTCTCTACTTTGAAATTAAATGAACCTATGATGACATAAATCCTGTTTCTGAAAAAGGAAGAAGAATAAAAAGGAAGGGGGAAACAAACCAAGTCTTTTATGTTCATCCTCTCTCTTTTTTTTGTTTTAATTAAATGTAATCTTTGAGCCTACTTACTTACGTGTTATTATTGAGATGAAAATAACAATATAAAGCATGTTCACATATTCTGTCCTTTAATAAACTCAGTTTTGCTGACATATAGAAGTCAAGGCCTCAAAGATATTTCTTGTCAGTGATCTGTGCTTTCACACTGCATATTCTTGGCTCAAGGCTAAAAGTTGACCCTGGAATAATTTAGCCCCTTTTCACACACACACACACACACACACACACACACACACACACACACACACTTTTAAACATATCGTATAGTGTTATACGATTCACACTGTACTTCTACTAGCCCTGAGTTAAATGTCTGTTGAACCATGCAACTCATTTTTACATTTCTGTTCACATTTTGTTTATTTTAGCCCTGTTTCACACTGGCACCTTTTAGCCCCATATTTATGCTCGGGGCTAACCCTGCTGCAGAGCTGGGCCAGCAAGTCCTGGTCCAAAGTCGGGGTTAGAATGTGCCACTGAGAAAGCTTTCTTATTGTGCAGTGTGAAAAGCCCTCATGAGACTGTTGGGCCATTTCGCTGATGCAAATCTCCTTTTTGGCCTCCATTAGCAACAGAAATCCCCCATTCAACGATGGTTTCAAAAATCCCCCTTTAAATGTTTCCCATCCCAATTTGTCACATTGTTCTCCTTTACCTGTGAATTCTATCACAGCACTACTCCTTTGGAAATATGTCAGAATAGTTCATTCATTTGCTCTTATCTATTGTCGTTGTCATTGTCGTAGATGACACACAATTCCAAGGTAATCTTTGACTTGTTATTTCTGTTGCTGTGGACACTCTGGCATTTGTTCACTTCCACCACCTTCGTCATGGACACTTGTCTGTACAGTCCCAAAAAAGGGAGGAATGATCATAGTGAAGTTAATCATAGGTCTGAAGGTGAAAACATGCCTCTGTTGACTCGTTTGTATCATTATGGATTTGATTATGTGCCTCTGTCTGATTATCCCTATTGTGTGTGTGTGTGTGTGTCATTTCCTGGATGATTTATTACAGGAGAGGCTTTCTGTATATGGGCCACTACCTCCAGTGTGTGATGTCATTCCTTTGGCAGCTTGAGCCAAGATTAAAGTTGCTTACTGCTGCCACCCAGTGGTTACATTTGCCTTTTTCAGATGTGGGAAACAAAGACAAGATGCCTTCATGACCACATCATCACAGAGGAGGAACGGGAACATCAATGTCAAAGACTACAAAATAAAAAAATAAAACAAACAAAATAAAGGACGGCCATAAAACAGATTCTCAGGAAAATGAGTGTTCCACTCTGAGCAGTGGAGTTTAAGAATCAGTTACAATCTCACTGTATCGCCACAGGGTGGTGCCACAGTCATCAACACGGTGTCTGCTCATCCCTTTCACTATTCTTTTATCGACCTGGAACTGAATTGTAAAGAAAAGCAAAAAGAAAGAAAACTGATTGTCCTTAAACATTCTGAAAGAAAACAAAGAATATTACACCATTAACCCTGATGTGACAGTGGACAGGCACTGAAATGTGAGCTGTTACTATATGCTGGATAAGACCATAAAGGTATGTTACATATTTAAAGTCTTTAAATGTTCAGTTCAACCTAATAAAAAAATTTGCTCCACTGTGGAATCTTGTAATCTGTACACAAGCAAATAAAACATTAGAAAATAAGAGATACCACTATGGGGAGGTTAACAAAATAAAAAATAGAAAAAGGTTTTGAGATTTGAGTGACCTGACCCTTTAAATGACAAATGACATACTTTACACAAAAAAGTAGTATTCCATGGAAAAGAAGGCTAATAAGACCACACGCGTAAGACAGTTTTAATATAAATCTGTAAAAATGAGAAGTTTAATGGTAAACATGAAAATGACAAAGTGATTGTATCATTTATAAAAGCAACAACACAAAAATACATGTATCTGTTTATGAAAAAAACTGCACCGTAGCTACCATATACGTGAAACAGGTTTCCTCTGGATATCAAATTATTTGTCAGTGCACTCCAAATGTCTTGATCTGAAACTTCTTTTCCTAAAGACATTAGAAAAGGAGGTGATCGTAACCCTGCTTCTTTGAACACAAACAAAGACGACAAGAAGAACAACAAAAAAACTGACAAATAATAATAATCACAGCCTTTTAAGAATGACATTTCAAACCACAATCTCGACATAAAATTGCACTTCAAAATACTGGTCGGGGTGAATAAATATTTGTAGTACCTTTCTATATCCATTTTGGTAATACAGTACATTAACACAGCAATAGTATATTAGAGCTGTCAAAGGGGTTAATAGGGAAACTGATTAAAACTTTGTCTATTTTCATTCCAGCTGCTTTTGCATATTGTACAGAATTTGCATAATAGCACATAAATAAATTAACACCGATGACATCAAACAAGAGGGTAAAAAAAGATTTACAAAACATACTGCATATCTAACATAGTGTCTATATATATTATTCATATAATTACATAATAGCGTCATTCAGAAGCGGTGCTGAAGTGCTCTTGCCTTTTGTCCCCGGTCTCCAAACCAGTGCTGTGTTTTTACAACAGACTGCTTTTTAGACTTTTGCACTGTCCCTTCAGACTCTCCCTCCTATCAGAGTTGTGTCTGGGAGGAAGGAGCCTTTTTTTGGCCTTGGGTGGTCTCGGGGTAAACACACCTCTCTGTGACTCTCTGTGCATCTGTGTTTACCTCCGGACGCCAAGTCTCCGTCCCGGGACTCGGCGGTTGCTGTATGCCGAAACACCCTCGACTCTTCCTGCGCAACAGGGCGTCCGATCGGCTGCTCCCGGACGCTCCCCCTAATGCCTCGGGGTCCGTTGGGCTGGCTGGGCTGCTGGGCGACGTCTCTTTGAGAGTATCCTGGCGCTGCAGCAGAGAAAGCCTCCCCTTTGGAGTGTCACTCAGTCTCCAGGATGTCCCTGCGGGGTTAGTCGTGGCTGGCGCGGGGCTGCTCACCAGGCTGTACAGAGGGAGCAGGGACCTGGGCTGAATCATGTGAATCCCCCCGATGGGAATCAGGAGGCTCGGGGCCCTGCCTGAGTGCTGGGAGTGCAGAGGGAGGTGACTCAGGAGGTTGTGGGCTCCCCGAGGCCGCGTGGGATGTGGGGTCAGACCAACGTCATCCATGAACTGCAACAAAACAAGATGAAATGAAAGTTCAATGTTGTGCTGACACTAGGTCCCTAACAATATAGAGCTGGATATGATCACAATAGGTCCCCTTTTTACTTCCTGTGATTTAGTGATTACAGGTGCAACAAAGACCACAGACTTTGAATGGGCGGGGCAACTGTCAATCATTTGTCAATCCATTTAATTTTGTCAATCAGAGGCTTACAATCCTCTGTGAGTCTGTCTGTCAGAGGTGGAACAACCGGAGGTAAGTGAAACACTTTTTTTAGCCTGCAGTTAGTTCCTCTTTAAAGACATCATTATAAGGCCACCTGCCTGAGAGCGAGGGGAATGGAAAACAACAAACACCTCTCCTGGTGAGGCACTGAGGTTGAGTCCAACACTTGCAGGCTCACTGAATTAACAGGCGCATTCCTGGGAAGTGCCGAGGGCTCTGTCCAAATCCACAGAGACTGCTGAGGATGCAAACTCCACCAGACTTTGCTCCAAAGATGAACCATACTTCATAGTAATATAGAGGGGGCAATGTAAAACAAAAGGAAAGAAAGCAGTAAAACCTAGTCCACCTATGCAAACACAATTTGCATACGATTTATAGCTTAAAGTCCAAATGTGCACCATGTTTTTTTGTAATGCCTTTATGAATTTGTGTATTATAATCTGCCGGAAAGGGTTGATGGAAAAAAAAAGGGTGTCCACAGAACGGAATGAATTGCAGTTGAGGATTTCATCTGAATAACAGTATAATACTGTGCATATCGACCTTTATCTTTGTCCATGGAACAAAAATGCATTTTATCCCCTTGCAGCCTTCTGCCATTGTAAACATGACGGCATCGCCCAAGTGTGCAAGTCGTTTATCTGCGACATGCTAAAACATGGAGCAACAGTAGCCAGAGAGAAGAGACAAAGTAGTGAGGTAGTTGCTAACATTAGCCACCATAACCAGACTAAGTAAGACTGCAGCAGTAAAACCACTGAGTGTATTGAACTGAGCAAGGGTGCATGTTATATCATAAAAGAGGAAAAGGGTATAAAAGATTGTGTTATTTCTTATTTCAAGTACATAGTCTCGCTTTAAATATGTTTCTAAATTTCCTCAAACATATCCTTGGCATTTTTGCACTGCAATACCTTACTGCCAATCGTACATATGTGAAGATACTGATACATATATGATAAGCTAATGTGGGCTAATATCGCTCTAGTGTAATTAGTACAACAGTATTAGAATGCAACATAATATTGAAACATAATAAAATTTGTTAAAAAATATCTGCGGTACTATTTAAAACATATTCAGGTCTACAGAAGTTCATATATGCACACATCAAATATTTAGGCATATAAAAATGGCTCCACTTACCAGCATTTACAGCTGTAGCTAACATGTGAACAGAAATGTCTGTGAGTGCAGATGTGAAAAACAACCCTGTAGAGAATGTGAATTAGTATCTGCTCCTATGAGACCTATATTAGTGTGAGGAGGAAGCGGTGAGGTTACACCATAACATAACCACAAGTTTGACATGAGTAGACATGTTTTTTTTTGTTTTTTATTAGGGTGAACTGAGATTTTCACCCACGTTGTTTACGTCGCCGACATGTGGTAACAATCTTCGGTATTTAACGATCGGCCTGCTTCTCATTTTATCAGCGGCTGCCCAGGGAAAACATGTTGTGTCTATTTGGGAGCTCTCCTGCATTATTTTAAGGCATCGGAGCTGCAGGCTTGGTTTGAGTGATATAAAACAAGAGAGTTGCCTTTCCTTCCTTTTCCAATAAATGTGCGACTTTAAAATAACCTCATATGTACCAGCCTATCTATATTTGTTCTAGATGTTGACTTACTGGGATTTAACTGAGCCACACAAGATTAGCTTTGTGAGCCAAAAGCTGATTTATTTAAAACTGTAGGCTAAACTAACAGAGATGGATCAAGTCACAGGTGAGTGAAGACTGCGGTTTGAACAAAAGCCACGTTTTGGCCAGCGTTAATTATACATACGACAAAAACGGAGCATCGTGACAGATTCAGACTGAGATAAAAACAATGGCTGGGTTAGGTTACAAGTAGAAAACTTATGAAAATGTGAAAACATGTTATGTCACCATGTGACTTACCAGTCTTGCTGTAGAAGGTCGGTCTCTTGGGTGACACCGAGAAGAAGTGTCCGCCAGGGAGCCTGGAGGCCCAGAGGACTCAGATCCATGGGACTGGACTACTCTAGGAGAAAGACCTCTAACAGGGGAGACTGGTCTCAGGGCGGAGGTTGAGACATGGCAACTGGATGGGGAGAGAGGGGAAGGGGGAGCAGGGGACTGGTGAGGCCTAGGCGATGGGCTGCGAGGTGGAGACTGCTCCCTCTGTGGAATCAGGGATGGGGCACTTGGAGAATGGGAGCCTCCAGAGGACGCCGATGCTGAAGTGTCAAGGCGTCGGCGGGCAAACAGGGCCCTCCTGGTGCTGGCCAAGCTCTTCTGGGTAGAATCCTTGGAGGGAAGCGGGGAGGACTGACTGGGTTCAGGCTCCATCGGCTGCCCTCCTGGATGAGATGTCTCGCTGTCAGAGGAGGTAGTGTGAGAGCTTTCAGCCGCCTTGGATCGGTCTTCATCACATCTGCCATCCTTGTCCTTCGCATTGTCATCCTCATCATGTCCACCCTTCCCCAGATCAGAGTACCGATGATCTTTTCGTTTATGAAATGAAGGTTCTTCACAGACTCCTAGAACAGAAAATTCACTTTTCAACACATTTAACTTTCTTATAGCCAACTGTAGCAGGCTGTTATTGGGCAGACATCTCTTGTGCATACAACAGAGATTACTTTATAATTTGGGCTATTCTTTACTGTTTCTACCACGTCAAGCATAACATTTTGGTATAATTCTCTGTATTTTTAATGAAATTTCACATGGGTTATTTGAAGGAGCTATATGTAAGAAGTGACCACCAATCGAATTCATTCATCATCATTAGAAAGTTAAGTTGCCATTAGCTATTTGGGCTTAGTTAGCTCAGTTAGCTGTGCAGCTAGCGGTCCTATTAGTTGACTCTTCCCAGACTAGGAGCTCGGACAACTGAGAGAGTGTTGGTTTTACACCACTAAGACAGGGGCTTTGGAGTGCTGGGAGGAGGAGGCTTTCAGGTCTGGCGTAGGAGGGACCTAACAGGGAATGCTGATGGGATGCGGCGCCAAAATGGGCACCAGAACCGGAGTACGGAGAGCGGACAACGGAGCAGTAGACATGGCCGGACAGCCTCCAAGACCGACGGAGGCCAGTTTGACGACAGGGAATAGAGTACCGAGGTGATTTACCGCGGCTCCGACCAGGACTGTCACCGGGAACGAGAGGAGCGAGATGGAGGTCGGTTATCAGTCAGCGGCCACCTCCAGAGGCCTAAGCAGGGGGGACGGCAGGGCAGCCCCGGGGTGCCAGGAATCAAACCTGGCAAGAAAACCACTTTAGTGTTGATGGACTGAGGGGAGACTGGACTCTACAGTGACTTAATTACTTGTAATTTCCTCTTTAGGTACAAAGTGGTATTACAAGACAAAATGGACCGGGGCTAGCTGGTTAGCATGCTAACTTCAGTAGATATCTCTGCAACACAATACATAATACGTCTTTGACTTAACGTCAGAACTGTTTATTTCTTTTTTAATTTTTAAATGTTTTAAACTAAAATTCTTACAAATAGCTCCTTTAAGTCATAACTTTCCTAACTGCACCAATTTGTAGGGATGTTCAGGAATAATATGAAAGTGTATAGGCATGAATGGGCTGTGTTGTGACCAGTACATTTCTTCCCTGGGTGTAACGTATAAGAGCCTCTCCCTTGTTTTTTCGTGGCAAACCTTCTCCCACATATCTTCCATCTTGTACGCCCAAGATCTTGATAAGCTGCTGACCAATGTTTACACTTCTCTTCAAACAAATGTGAAATGTTGAAGCTCGATCAAAGTGACAGAGTATATAAGCCAACAGAATTAGTGCACTGTTTGAGGCTATTGGTCATTTCAGTGTTTTGAAGGAAGGAAAATCACGTGGCTCGGGTTACAGCAGTGGATATAATTGTGGGTAGTCTCCATTAAAAGCAGTGTTTGGGATCTTAATAACTTAATGCACTCTGTCTAGCTTACAACACTACACTGTGTGTTGCAGCAGTACATTAGCTTGATGTTTCTATATCATATAGATGCATTTTTAATTAGTTTGTCTGGAAGTTGATTGAACATGAATGAAAAAACTTTTCACCCTACCAAATAACATATTTTTGATCAATAATATAAGTTTGAATAGTCAGCTTTATACACAATAATGTATGAAAATTTGGCTGTGTGTAATACTGTCATTAACTGCTCACTCTGTGTTTTGGATGAAGATCACAATTACTATAATGTTCAATGTGCTGGAGCTGAATGTTAGCTATGTACAGCTAGTTAGCTATGTAGCCTGCAAACATTTTCCCCCAGTAGGTAGCCTACTTGCTTTGTTGCTCAATCTACAAACCAAGGTGCAACACAAGACAAGTCCATTTGGCATGAGCGAGTACAACATTATTTGTATCTGTGTCCGTACTCGGAATGGGTGGTGCTTATGCTGGACGTGGGTGTGGCTTCCGGAAATTGTTAATTTAAGCCTGAAATTGGTATGGGTTGATCAGAAATAGCTATATTTATTAGAAGACTATTTACAGAACAGCCTCAGAATTGAGTTTCAGGGCAATGAACACCAGAATAAGAGAACTATTTAAAGAACAGAAGTTTTTAATATAAAAGCTGCTATATTTAGTTTAGATATTGACATGTTTTAGAATGTTCTTAGCATAAATATGGCAGAAAATTTGGTTATCAGTACATTAAATTCAAAAATATTATCACTGGCACTTCAGTATAAAAACACACTCACACACAAAAATGTGTACCATAGTGTACCTTCATTTGTGCCATCTGGGTAACAACAGATTTCTTTTCTATGTGCCTTAGATCTCAGATGCCCAGCGAGTATACCTGTAAAATACAAAAAAAGGGGGAGCTCATACTGGATGCACGGACATCACAAACTTTAAAAGAATAAAAAAAAATGTGTCTATCCTTACCCTTGGCTTTGACGGAAACGTTACAATGTTTGCAGGTATATGGTGGCGATTCTGTGACGCAATGGGTGCAGTTGTACAGGATACTGGTATTCTTAAGGTGGAATCCACAATCCTCACATTGGCACTTCCCTCCACTTCCACCATACGTGATTGCATACTTCTCATTTGATCTGTAGGTGTGAGGAGAGCAAGAGGTTTCAGTTTCATCCTCAGAGCCTTTCCCTGTCACTTGTCTATTGATGCTTCTCCTCTGAGGATGATGGTCACAATCAATATGAGTGTAACTGGAGCTGACAGACGGGCTGCGGGCCCTTTAGCACCTGTAAGCAGCTTTTTAGTTCCTGTATTTATCCAGTGTAAGTACGCTATCTATTTGGCCTCTGCTACACAGTGAGCTCACACTGTGGCAGCTGGGCCCGGGGTCCACCCCTCCACATACACTGAGGGTCCCTCAGCGAGGCACCCACTTCACCTTCAACAGAGCAGCTTTCATAAGCCAAAACCAGACCCCCCTCCCTCCCTCCCACTGCCTTACAACCCCATCACAGCTCACACCACCACTGAGTGCAAACAGGGGGGAGCCTACGATGTGGCCCAAGGTCCGGGGTTTGCTGCAGCCAGCCAATAAAAACAGGCCAGAGAGGGAGGGAAACCCTGGCCCAGACCAGCTGCTGCTCCAAATAAGCATGAAAAAACACAGAAAATGAAAACACATTCCTACGACAAATAATCCTTATGATTATAATCGGCTGTTTTTTCTTCTATTTTCACTACAGGCTTCACGGCTGGATAAACTGGGCAAGTATGATAAATGGTGGCTTTTACAGTTTAGAAAAACTTTCAAAGTTAATGAAAGAGGAACACTTTGCCGTCATGCCAGGACACTATACCCTTACACTGCAAAGCAGCTATATTCATAGGATTTTCATGCAGCACATTTTCACACCCAAGATCTAAGCCCAGGTCCCCTTGCCTTCCCCTGGGCCAACAAGGAAAAATGGCAGTGTTCGACTACATTGCCGCCTCAGTTTAGTCTTTTTGTCCCTCAGACAGACTGATCAGACAGAGAAGGAGAGAGCGAGCAGGCGTAAGGATGACTCACTCTTTTAGGAAGGCTGTGATGAGCGTCAACATGAGTCACAACAGGGATTTGTTCACAGACACACTCCCAAACCAAAAAGAGACACACAGATGGCACCTCTCTGCACTCTCCTGCGTCGCAGCACTGTTTATTTCTGATGGGTAACAGAACTACTGAGCGTGTCTGGTTTAACCTCGCTGCAAATTCATTTGAGAAGATGCTTCAATAAAGACAAATAAATAACAGGACTATGTCACAACTTACATGTCTGCAGACTGTATTCGACTAAATTTCAATATGAGAATCAGTCATTGCTGTTCTTGTTATCTTTTTAATGTATTGAATTTCTCCGTTCTGATCTCTGACTAATGTACCATTTATAGTTCACATCACATTTGTTCAAATAACAAACAGGCAAGGGATAATACACCGAAGGTGTCTATTATTTTTATTAGGACATTATGTGTTAATATGCTTATGTAATTGGCACTGACCAAAAGGATAATATAAATAATTGTTCAAGCTGTTCATAGTTAGTTTTATACATCATTAGGTTTATTTGAGTGAGAGTTATCTGATAATATAGCATTAAGGAAAAGAACAGTCGATACGGTTACTCACATTTTAACATACCATTTAATATACTGTGCATTGCAAAGATTTAGAACAGTGGTTAAACTGTAAGTTTGCTTGACGTGTCCTGTTAAACAGTTTGTTTTTTATATATGTTTTGGGGGCTTTTTCCCTTCATTGATAGGACAGGTAAAGATAGACAGGAAGGGAAGAGAGAGAGAGAGGACACGCAGCAGGGGCCCACAGGCCAGACTCAGACCCATCGCTGCTGCAGCAAGGACTCAGCCTTTGTCCAAGGGGCACCAGCTCTGCCAGGTGAGCTACCTGTCCATTGATAGTAAGATGCATTTCGTCTAGACATTACATTTTATAAATATTCATGTTTTTTTTTTTGTTTTTTTAAAGAAATGGCTTTATACACACTATCAAAATATAGGTCAGCCTCAACAGTCAGGTGCCCATATGGACATTTAAAAAGGTTTTGCTTTCAGTAATCATTTCTCCTGCTCATACTAATATGAGGCTTCAGAAGTGTGACCAAGACAAATCACATCATAGATATCCCATATATCCAAAGTCTTTTTAGTATAAAATTCCCTCTTACTGAATTCACTGACAGTTGAGCTGCAGTGGAGGGATATTAATTAACAAAAAGAGGGGTTTTGGACTGAAAAGACATTTGGAAGATACACATTTCTCCTTTTGTCTGTTTTCCAGCCCAATTGCATTTAGTATGGCAAGCTCCCTTTAATGACTAATGCACTGTCTGTACATGCGCCTACTGTATATCTTCTGCTCATTCCATTGACGTCAGTGTAAGGGAATGAAACGTGCTTCCACTCCATGTGAATGGCTGTGATGGTTGGTGTAAATGAATCTCTGCAGGCGCAAAGGAAGCAAGGTAGTTTCCTGGCTTCAGCCCCTCAACAGACGGGCTCTGTTGGTGCAGACAGCCAACCCTTGGCCTCTTCAACATGGTGGACAGACAACAGTTTCCACAACATACCACAATATGTGACGCAAGCCCTCAACACCGTAAGTAATGAGGTACATCAGATTTAACACTAAATATGTACAATATGTCAGGTAGATACTCTTATGCTGAGCTGTCATAAGATCATACTCACCCACTCTCAGAGATCCAAACTTCGGAATGTTGTTTATTTATGGAGCATGACTGTACTTCCTCCTCCTTCTTCTCCTCTTCCTCCTTCTCCTCTCTTCGGTTTGACCTGTTGTCATCTGCTGACTGCTGTCCCTTCCTTGTTTCCTCATGGTCTCTGCAGTATAACTGGCTGATGTAGACCTATACTCGAAAGAGACATGGGCAAATTCACCAACTCTGCTCCAGCATGCCCAGGGAGACAAGAATTGGGAATTCTCATTGAACGTTGTGTTTAATAGCATTTGTTAGAGCACATATAATTTTTTTTCGTTTTGCCGTCATTGTGAAGATATTGATACTCAGGTCTTTATCATTTAGTGCTGGATAGTTAGCAAAGTATTATTTCCTGCCCTGTTAGGATTGAGGCTACCATAGGAATTGCAAATATATAATCTGGCAATGCTAACCCACCCATTGCTGCACCTTCTGTACATTCCTAGAATCAGAATCAGAATCAGAATGCTATATCAGAATGCTAAAACCAGAATGCTAAAACCTATGCTAACCTACCGAGAATCTAAACCATGCCAGGAAGACCCCTGAATCAATTTAACCTAACCTCTCTCTCAGACTTCCGTGTCCTTCTTCATTTTGATTAGTCTAATAAATGTGAAAATTTCAAGAAATTCTTCTGGGGTTGTCATTTTACATTGTGCTATCGTACAGATTTCCTTACTGTAATCAGTGTTAGAGTTGTAATTACCTCAGTGGAGCATGGTCTTTTGTTTTCCTCTTGTTCCATTGACTCAGCTGTCCTGACTGACATTTGGGATGTGGTGTAGATGGAGGGACTGAGCCTCTGCTTACAGTGCAGCAGAGACAGAGCAGTCTTGCTGGAGAGGCCGGGTGGGTTGGGGTCATAGCCGCTAGTGGACCACGATGAATACACAGAGGGCTTCTGTTCATCCAGAGTAGAAGGGTTTGGTTTAATGTAGTTCAAATAGCACCAGCTGTTACAGGTGCTGGACAGCAAACTGGGAAATGATGGCCCAACATGTGTGATGGGAGTACAAACACTGGGTAGACATGACTGACTCTCCCCTTTGAGTTCCTGATTGCACGTGTCCACCTGATTGCACGTGTCTACTGCTGCCTTGTCAACACATCCCCTCTCCCTCTCCTCTTCTTCTTTTACTCGTTTCTGCTGCTGCTGAGACTCAGGGAGGATCTCTATACTGTTTGATGGGGAAAGCATGCGCTTGTTGCCCCCTGAGGCTGATATCCTCAGGCCATCGTCAGACCACAAGTCAAGGTCTGGACTCGTGTTCCTATGGTCTCTGTAACCAGCTGCTGGGTTACCTATGTTGTGTGAAAAAGTATCAACCTTCTCCTGGGGCTGGGGGGAGGTGGACTGAGACAATGTGGTGTATATGGCACATGCAAGGGTGAGGGTGTCTGTTTGGAGACGCACTGCTACTGCTGGAGATGTGACTGGTCTCAGTAATTCCAGACTGGAGGTGATGTGAGGGACAGAGTGCTGGATGTGGGAGTGACTTACTCGAACCTCTGAATGATCATCATGTAGTAAAGGAATCTCTAGCTTCAGCCCTGTAGACATAGGGAGATAGTGAGCTCTGGCTGCCCCAGATGGTCCATGTGTAGGATAGGGTTGTGGTGCTTGAGGAGGTGGCTGCCCTGTATGGATGTGTGAGGACTCTTCTTTTACAGGATCAACAGATGGGCAGTGAGTAAGGGAGAGTTCTGTGCTGCCTTTCAACTGAATATTTTGACTGAGTTTCCACTGAGAGAAGATCTTTTTGCATTGTAATTTGGCTGGATTATGCAAGACTGTGTCACCTGATAAAGGAGAAGTAGGGGACCGACTGCAGTACACAGAAGTCGGGCTTGCTTGAGAAGATGTGCTAGGGCTGACATGTTGAGGACTACGGCTCGGTATGGTACACTGCTCCTCTTCCTCCTCATCTGGATCTCTGATAGCAGTGTGTCTCATGAGGAGACATTTTCTTCTTTCCCTCCAGCCAACTGCAGAGCGCTCAGGGGACAGGCAACTATAGTCAAAAGACTTACTGCGGGTCTCAGCCATTAGGACACTTGGTTGTGGGTCATGAGGTGCCTGCTCTGATGCTGAGCGCCTCATCTCCCTATGCTGATGCACACCAGGCACTGTCAACATGTTAGGAGCTCTTGATCTCCGCAGTGGTGTTGCTATCTCCATGTCTGGTCTATTTGCCTCTTCAAATGATGTGGAACGACTGGATGCATAAGATGCACTACTGTCCTGACTAGGGCTGCGGGGGAGGGATATAGAGTCAAAACTGGATTCACCGGACGACTGGGCAACCTCGGCTAGACGTAAGCGCTTCTTCTTTGGAGGAAGCTTTTCAATAGGAAGCTGGGCCAGAGAGGGGCTTCTCTGTGGCCACTGAAATTCATCAGGTTTCTCTGAATGTTTTGCTGTGGAGGTTGGCTCTACTCCGGTCCCTGTGCTCATGTTGGAATCCTCTGTGACCAGTATTTCTGGAACCAGCACATTGTGTTGGCGGACCAGCTTCCGGTTCGTTAGTTTTGCCGACTGTTGTTGGGGCTGTTTCTGAGGCACCAGCTGATATTCTTCATGAGGTGGAGAATTTTTTGTCGCCTCAGTGCCTTGATTCTCATTGCACAAAGATTCTTGTTTTTCAAATGAACTAGTATGCTGAATTACTGAACAGGTTTGCAGTGTAGGTCTTCTGGGGCTGTCATAGACTACATTGCTTTCATCTTTACACTGTCCTGAAAAGAGGTCAGGAGAGGGTAATGAAGGAGAAGAGGGGTCATCAAATTCAAAACTGTCTTCTTTTCTTCTCTTGCGCATTGCTGATGCTCCTGCTCTGACTGCATGGTTAATTAACTGTGGGCACTCCATTTGACTAATTACCACCTCATTTCTGGGATGATGTGCTAAGCACAGGCTTTGCTTGTGTTTCTTATAACCTTCCCAATCTTTGCATCCAGTGCCACAGGCCTCACACTCATATGGCTGCGGTTGACTTTGCTTGTGGTCAGGCACAGTGGTTACGCTGTCAGGGTAAAATGAATGAGAACCCTCTTCCTCTTTTGTAAGTTCAGCACCAGGTGGGATTTCAATAGCTGGCTGCCGTCTTAGCATCCCATAGCGACGGGATGCCTGCCTTTCAGAAGGCGGTCGTTCATCAAAGGACTGACTTAAGCGGAACTTACTGGGGCCACCACTGGAGGCGTCAGATGCAGATGGCATAGAGTGACTTCTCACCAGAGGGGCTGATGTTTGGCCAGCTGGCTTCTCCACATTTAGGGGTGGATGATGAAACTTTTCACATGGGACTCCCATGGTGATGGAGCCACTGTTTTTATAGCAGAGATCTCCAGCTTTAGGGCTATGAATAAGCGGTTCTTTCATAGATGAACTCTTTTGAGACTCTGAACTATTCTTTCTGGAGAGCGAAAATCTCCTTGGTTTTACACTGTCAATTTTACTGGTGTCCACCACTGCCTCGTTGATAGTGATAAGTTTGGTGATATGGTCAATGACTTGCTTCTTGGGGACTGTGAATGGGATGGTTTTGTCCTCCTGACCAGAGGGCTGCTGGTTATGGTGCCGAGGCATCCTCTGCAGGTGTCCGAGGCGTCCATACTTGCCGAGGATGATCTCTGCATAGCTTTTGGCACTTGTGTTTGGGGGGCTGTCCTGTGGCTGCTCAGTACTTTCAGAGCGAGAGAAATAACCAGATTCTGTGCTGCCTTTACTCCCTAAAATTAGAGATGAGGCCTTTTCATCAGATGAGTCTCGGGGACCATGTTTTCCTCTACTTAGACGCAGGGCCAGTCTTTTTTTCACTGCGTAAGAGTCATCCTTTCCTCCAGTGCAATCTTTGGCCCTATCTGTTTCATGACTCTTGATTGAGGCCACACTGCTTTGTCTTTCTGTATGGGAAGATGCTGATGATAACTGTCTGGTTTCATCCTCTGACTCAGTGACTTGTTCCTCTAAAGATCTCGGCTCTCCAAGTGCTAGACCTGCCTTCACCCTGTGTGTATGCGATTTGCGGTGTTTGTACAGGTTACTCTTGGTCTTAAAAGAGAAGCCACATGGGGCACAGGGATAGGGTCTTTCACCTGTGTGCGAGCGAATATGTTTCTGTAGGACACTAGGCTTTGCACATGCACGGCCACAGTAAGTGCAGACATATTTGCCTGGTCTTTGAGGCTTACGCTCACGTTTCTGTTTTGGGGTCCCCTCCTGGGTTTCTGGTTTAGACTGGGTGGGGCCACCTGCTGAGGAAGTTGAGACTCCTGGTGACAAACTAGCTTTTGTTGCCTCATGTTTCTGTTCCAGCGCAGTATCCGAGTCGATGCTCTGCCGCTGGTGCCTGAGACGTTTACGTTCAGGAGGCTGTCGTCTGGACTGTTTGGGTTGCTGTAGTGTGCCATGGGGCTTCGGGGAGCCAGTTTCCGGTTGCTCACAGGGCTGGGAGGGAGACTTAGGCTGCGGGTCTCGATGATGAGACTCTGATTGACAATGCTCTTGACCTCCGGACTGCTCCCCAGTCGTCAGGGAACTATGCAAGGCCTCCATAAAATGGAAAGACAGCCTCAGGTAGACAAGTGGGATGTGTCTGCCTGTGCCAGGCTACAGAGTTCAAGCCAAATCATTAACTGGATAATGGGTGTAATGTGAGTGAATTTTATCAAATTATATCCACTTTAGTAGACTGTCACACTTCATATTGTTCACTTGTTTTGCTTAAACTCTATTGCTTGACAGCAGAATGATGCCATCAAATGTAAAACAGTGGCATCAAAGAATGCAGCTGTGATATGTCGTGTGCTGTGGAGGAAGTCCTCTGCCATGCTGCCCTAAAATATCCCATCATGAAGCACTCAGCCAGTCCTGCTGCCACACACTGATTCTTCTGTCTTCTCAACATAAAGATCTGTAAACACAAACATCTCATTATATAGAATAGTGCATATAATTCAACTTTGAGACACAGATAAGCCTCTGACCCTTGGCTAACCAAATATGGATATTTATGTTTCATGTGTTACATAATCACTGTATGTGTCATAGCATTCAGCTTTCACTTTCCCCTGGCTGCTGAATACTTTGAAATTAGAATGGTTTATGTAATATTTCTGTACAAAAATATATCAGCATGCAGCAAGTAAAAATGATGATGCTGCTAACGTTCCCAGAGAGAGGCAATATGTCCAATGGTTGCGACAGGAACATTCCAATAACAGCATAATCTGAATTTGTCATAGTCTTCAATGATTTCTAATCAACCATGCATTACTTATTTCAAAACCTAGGACCACAATATCTTGCTGTCGGACAGCATTACACATCCCACCCACTTCCATTAAAATGAGTCAGATCTTCCCGTTGCAAGACAGAGCAAAATAAATAATATCCAATGGTTTACCAATTTCACAAGGAAATACCAGATCCTCCTGGTGGAGGATGAAGGGAGTTACTATATTAAAATGTGTTGCCATACAAGCACCTTTTTCTTTTTTGGTGTTAATGAAATTGCTTTGCTTGAATATTTCTTTGCATAATTAATTACACTGGGATTAACTAAGCGACTATGGCATGTGAACCTGATAGAGTGTCTCAATGTGCTCTAATTAATGCTGCATTTTTGACATGTTGTGTCGTCCAGTATCAGGCCATGCTTCCTTCAAAATCATGGTCATCAGACAATGCTACAGCACAATACTGCTGCATTTAGAGCACTTGTGAATGACTCTGCCTCATTACTTTACAGCATATGGATAACTGTATTTGATTTACTGTGATTTTAGATACTTGCAAAGGCCAAGCAAGAGACGGCAAGGGATGGCTGTTAGCTGTGAGTGCATACACAAGGCAACTCAGTGGAGATACTGAAGAAAACTCCCAATGTCTTTTTGTGCCAGCATACTGAAACAGTAAACAAGGCATCCCACGCACTGACCAGCTGGTTTCTACACCCACGTTCTGGTGGAAGACGGCAAAGCTGCTGGATTGTATCCAAATTACTGATAACAGGTTGATAGCCATCTTTGGTTTAACTTGTGGGAGTATGTATGCCAGTATTGGATGAATATTAAACCAACATTACTTTTTGTTATAACAAAAAGCAGGCATATACAGTAGGTATATTATATCTGTACTCTGCAGAAGATCATTCAGATGTCCTAGGCCTAAATCTCTTGCATTGAGACTAGTTAGTAGTAAATGTAGGTCAGACAGGTAGTGTAACTGGACTAAACTTTTGGAGGAGAATCAGAGACTCAGTCGTCTCACTGAAAAAAAAAAAAAAAAGAAGGCCTCAGAGCTCAGACTGTGAGACCCTGCATACTCTGCATGAGGGTGATGATGACTGGAGTGAAATGAATTTCAGACGCAGCACTTGCAGTACAGAACTGGCACCTAAAAGCAAGTGACATTTTTAAAATCATGCAATAAAATCTGCTCATTTACACTTAGACGTGTCACACATGTTCCAGAGCTAACATAAGACTTGTCATTTGCACCTCTTGTGGTGCAAATGAACCTAGCAGGCAGGGTTTTTTTCTTCAACCCTTCTCTCCACACGGATCCTGTTTTCCCCCTGTCCTTGGCTCTCAGCCTCGGTCATTCTCTCTAGGTGAACCGTTCCACGGCTCTGCTAGAAAACACACGTCGAGGTGTAATGTTCTCAGAGTCAGACAGCGGTTTGCTAGGACAAATTACTACATATTTATTACAAACTAAATATCAGTATAGATTTCTGTAGATCTCCTCTTAAAGGGGAACTCCAACTATTGTACACACACGGAGTACAACTGCATTGTGAGCAATGTAATCTGATAAATTGCCTGAAGTGGTCACCTGAGTCAGTGTCTGTTGGGTCTGCAGGCTATACATTTGAAAATGAAAAAAGTCTGGGGGTGTGGAGTTAGAAATGAGCAACCCGCTCCTCATCTACGCTTCTGACTAGCAGCGCAAGGCTACATTAGCCGCTACTAGCATACAAAATTGAATCTCTGACTAAACTGTCAGCAGTGAACAACAGTAATGTTATAAGGAGTTCGGTCGGAGACCTGCTCTTTTTGGAAAGTGTCCTGAGATAACTTCTGTTATGAATTGTGGCGCTTATACAAATAAAATTGAATTGAATTGAAGTTGTATTGGTGGGTGAATGTAGTTGAGTTGTTGGCAAAGAAAAGAAGAATGCATATGAACAGAAAAGACAGGATGTCTGGTTCTACTGCGATCACGATTTTAGAATACCTTCGTGAGGTCCGACAGTGTTTATGTTGTGCATTGTTAGTGCAGATGCTGAAATGGGTAGAAAGGCTCTTTTAACCACTTTATGTTGACTGTGTTTGATGGACTGTTTTTTTCCAGCAGATATGATAAGCCAATAGTTCCATAACCTGTAGTGTTACACTCACTTGGAGGGCGAGAAAGGAGAGGCAAAGCATGAGATGATTTAACTCATTCCATAGCTCTGACACAACCAAAAATATAACAGGCTGAACACAAACAACAAGCAAAAGACAAAGAGTTTGACATTTTAACATAGCTTTGGTGGCAAAATACCAAGTTCATGGAAAATGGCATACTTTAATGTAATGCAGCCAATCCATTAGTTACTAATCACCCACCAGGGTTTTCCTGTAATATCTACCAGTCGATCATTAGCCTATAGCCAGTCTATAGCCAACAGCCTACAGGTTAAGACTTCAGGCAGGGATATAGCAATGTGTTGCAAGTTAAACTGTATTTACGCACATGTGCGGAAATGCGCTGTTAAACGGGCCTTAGCAGTATAATAATACACAATATAAAAGGTCGCATTTTTTCAGCTTGTCTTAATGGTGCAGGTGTGACAGTATTTGCCGAGTGAGGCGAGG